TATATATATATATATATATTCTGTGATGAAATTAATGCAAGAACATCTTATAATCAGTTTTATTTTTCCACCAGTCCTTCACAAACGTATGCTTCAACAGTCCAAAAGTGAATGTGTAAGGCCAGTCAATACTAACTGTTAGAACTTATACTGCATAAATAATACTATACAATCTAATATTTGAAATGAAAAATTATGAAGCTGATGAAGTGTATTAATTAGGGTGAATGTTCTTTTATGGCTTAATGTTTAGAATCATTGATGAGAACGTTATAATACAACCTTAGAGACCTGTTATTGTTAAATAAAATAAATTTGTTTAGTTTTTTTTTTACCTGAAAACGTTATCTACAGTTTTACATTTGATTTAATAGTTTGTCTTTAAAAAAATAATTTAATGGAAAACAATACAATTTCATTATTTTTAGGCAATTCGAGGTGAACTAAGTCAGTTTGTGGATGATATGGTGGTTCCTGATGTTTTGATAAAGTAAGTGTGTTTATGGTTTTCAAAGCTATTTAGGAGTTAATGCATTATGCTATTGTTAAAAGTTATTTGTAAAAAAGGATTATCAACAAAATTTGTCAAACAGTAATAAGTTGTTGAAATTTAATAATAATTGTTCAACCATCTATGTGTAAAAACCTTAAACACTTAAAAAAAACTATAAAATAAAAATGAGAATATATATGTGCAGTATTGAGGTGCACATTTAAAATTTGATACGATCCTGGTTAGGTTTTTAATATATAACATAATGTTTGGGACAACATGGGACCTATTGGTCCATCTCGGCTGTCCCATCCTCTAAATTAAACTAAAACTATTAATAAATACATTTAAAAAAAATAATTTAAAAAATTAAATTTTTTTAAAGAAAAGCCAACCCTTATCATTCACATACTTATCCAGCTTTCTCTTGAACTAACTTAAATTTGCTGCCTCCACAACATTCAAAGGCAACCCATTCCAAAGGTCAACCACCCTGTTAAAAATATGAAACTGTCTTAGCTGAAGATGATTCCTACCTTGCCAAAATTTATATTTGTGTCCCCTAGTCCTACCATTCTCATTGTTAAATATGAAAAAGATGATGCATCAACACTATCAATTCCCTTTACAATATTAAACACCTCAATCAGATCCTCCCCTAACTTCTTTTTTTCAAGAGAAAACAATTTAGGAGATTTCATCCTCTCCTCATATGACAACCCCATCCATACGAGGCATCATTCTAGTAACCCTTTCCAACCATTCAGTGTCCTTCCTAAGGTAAGGAGCCCAAGACTGAACACAATACCCCAAATGTGGCCTAACCAGTGACCAGTACAATGAAATTATAACCTTTTTAGACTTTTATACAATATTTCTATAGATACAACCTAAAATCCTATTTGCCCTACCACTAGCAACAGCACACTGCCTGAATGGTTTAAGAGACTGATCAACCATTACACCAACATTCCTTTCTTTCTTGACACGGTTAAGGTTAATTCCCTTCCAAATTATACTTATAATACAAATTATGATAACTCACATGCATTATCTTGCATTTATTGTAATTAAAACCCATCTGTCATTTATTTGCCCAACTCACTAAATGATGTAAATCCTTTTGTAAAGCAGCAGAATTCTCTTCACAGCTAGCAACACCCAAGATCTTAATATCATCTGCAAATTTAAGTAATTTATTGACCATTCCTTCATCTATGTCACTGATATAAATCAAAAAGAGCAAATATTCTAAGACTGAGCCCTGAGGTACCCCACTTGTGATATTAATCCAGTTTGACTGAACTCCATTTATAACAACCGTCTGCTTTCTTCCATCCAACCACTTTTCTGTCCAATTAACCAACTTATCCCCCACACCTATAGAGATAATTTGTTTCACAAGCCTTTTATGTGCCACCTTGTCAAATGCTTTCTGAATACAACAAATTTACAACTTTACTCTCAACTACGTAAGCAATAATCTTTTCAAAGAATGTCAAAAAATTTTCCCTTAGTGAAACCATGTTGACTATCCAATAAAATTATAAACTTTGTTAAATGGCTATGCAAAGCATTTTTTTTATCAGACTTTCCAATAAAATTCTAAACTTTGTTCAATGGCTATGCAAAGCATTTTTATCAGACTTTCCAAAACTTTTTTTCTTTTGCTTGAGATAGATTGCATATTTTTATATCCAGTGAGATTTTACTCAAATTTCTTATCCATTTATTGCTCACGAAGGAAACTATTCTAAAGTTGGTGTAATCAGTTTTTTTTTGCAAGTTTTACAAGATAGTTTTCAGGCCAGTACTGCTTACCAAAAGTGAGCTATTCTGGGAAGATTTGTAACTGTTTAAAAAGATAACCTTATGCATAATTTTTGTGTGTGTAGTCACATTTTAGAGACACCTGTAGTTGAAAAGGACTTTCTTGAACAAATTTATGTGTTGGACCATAAAATATCTTTTGTGAAAGAACAAGCCTTCAAAGAAGTTCACTCTTGCCAAGATGTAAGAGACATACTTGATAAATTGAAGTTCAAGGTAAGGAGAGATAACTAAGTGAAGAACATTACTGTTAATTACTTGGTGTGTGGTTTGTTTGATGTTTTTACAGTGGATAATCTATATGTGTATTTATTATCTAATATATTGAATTATAAGTGAAAATGTATTGATGATACTTGAGAAAACACTGGAGTGTGTGATAAGGTTATAAGTTAGTGCATGAAATATTTCTATCTTGATTGTTCTTAGCTCGGAAAAAAAGACTGCAATAAGAACTACTCTGAAATAAGTTTTCAACCAGTACATTTTTAAGCATCTTAAGCTCAACTACTTTTTGTAGGAATGTTAGTATACATTTTAGGAAACTGTATGTTTGGTAGAATGGTAACTACTGAATCACTGCAACAATTGTTTCCTTCACCTTTGATTTTATTTATCCATTGTACCAAATGAGGCTAACCAATTGATAAAACAATACATTTTAATCTTTTGTAAGTAAGAACAGTATATTTAGTTAGTATAGTCATCACTAGGTTGAATCTTATTTCTTATTAATGTAGATAGCTTGCTTTTATCAGGAGTCAACACTAAGGAATAACATAGGACCAAAACAAGAAACTAAGTAACTCAAGTGTTTTTGATAGATAGACCTTTGTTCTTCAGAAGTAAATTTGTAATAGGTGGAGAGTGTGAAAGTCAGTGGTGATCTTCAGTGACATCATGAAATTTCAAAAGTAACATTATTTTGAAATGCTTTTAGAAAAACAAAATTCTGTAAGTCTCTCTTGTTTTACTAATTACTATATTTCTGTCATTTCCTTTTTTACTTTATTCCTTTCTTGCCTTACACCTGAAACCAGACCTTATTCCTGTCTCGCCTTACACCTGAAACCAGACGTTATTCCTGTCTCCCCTTACACCTGAAACCGGGCCTTATTTCTGTCTTGCCTTACATCTGAAACCAAATCTTATTTGTTTCTCATCTTACACCTGAAACCAGATCTTATTACTGTCTCATCTTACACCTGAAACTAGACCTTATTCCTGTCTCGTCTTACACCTGAAACCAGACTTTATTCCTGTCTCGTCTTACACCTGAAACCAGATCTTATTACTGTCTCATCTTACACCTGAAACCAGACCTTATTCCTGTTTCATCTTGCACATGAAACCAGACCTTGTTCCTGCCTTGCCTTACACTTGAAACCAGACCTTATTCCTGTCTCATCTTACACTTGAAACCATTCACTTTTGCAACATTCTTATTGAAAGAAACCTTGGCATGGTGGACTGCTCCAGTTTCACTGAAAATAAAATATTTTCACACCTTACACCTCCTCATTCTCAATTCACTCCTGAAGAAAGAAGTTCTATGTTTTTGTAAGCACTTACTTGGATTACTTGGTTTCATGTTTTGTGATTATACTATCCAGCATGATGGAGAAATTCTGATTGTCAGTTTTTGTCGATATTGTTGATGGTTTATTGCAGATAACTATTGCTGGTCCATAATGCATCCATAAAATAAACTTTTAATACTTGTTTCAGGCATTATCCAAAATTCGAGAGTACCTGTTACAAAGGATCTACTCCTTCCGTAAACCAATGACAAACTACCAGGTAACACAAGATACAATGCTAAAGTTCAAGTTTTTCTACCAGTTTTTGATGACTCATGAGAGAGAGGTTGCACGGGAGATTCGAGATGAGTACGTTGACACCATGTCCAAGATATACTTTTCATATTTTAAGAGTTACACCACTAGACTAATGAAATTACAGGTAAGGATACTCGTCATTAGTGCTAAAAGGGGAATCTTCATTTATGATTATGTAACGTGTTTAATATTTTAAATTTTTTCTTTTACTTGCTCATAAAATATGCCTGAGTTAGAGGATATGCTAGTTTGAAATAAATTACTATATTACCTCAGCTAGTGCAGAGTTTAGGCTTAAGGTCAAAACTTTATAAATAGAACTTAGATTTTGAGAAGTGAATTAGCAGAATTCTGATGCGATACATTACCTCTTCTCACTAAATAGCTATTCTCATTTAGTGCTGCTCTCTACATGCAAAAATATTTTTATGCATGCCACAAGCCTTCTATCTCCCTTCCGCTAGAATTGACTGATTCCAATGTGTCTCTCATGCAAATCATCATGTGTCAACCCTCCACCACTAAGAATGTGACATACTCTCATGATGCATGTGACTCCCTCTATTCAATTCTACTGAACTACCACTTCTCGTTTAGCAGTACTCGTGTTCAGACATTTTTCTTTTTGTGGTCTTCATGTGAATAGTGATTTTAATAGGTTAATTTTCAACGTGGAATTTCTTCATTATTATTATTTTTTTTTTACATTTAAATTTTTTTTAAATTTAACCCAATTCACAAGTCTTTATTTTTCTCACATTTGCATATTTTACATCAAACACTTTTGTTTGATTTACATATTTCTACAATGAATTCTGAGGTTCATGTTTCCAGTTCAGGGGTTATATCTCTAGCACTACTTTCACAGGCTGCAGGTGGGGGAGACCCGTCATTGGATTTCTCTGCTATTATACCTTGGGAAATTGATCGTTTTATGGGTCAGCCTTCTTCTCCTGAACTGTCCCTTCTAATCCTCCTGATCATGCCAAACCTGTTCAGGCCAATGAAGATTTGATAACCTTTTTACACCACCAGATTTTGCTGTGTTTTTCCCTACCTCTCTTGCAGAATTAGCTAGGCCTAATATGGCATTTTTCAACATTATTTCTCAGGTGGGTTATGCTTTATTCAATTACCCATTTTTCTGTGATTCCTTATTACCTCCATGCTGGCTTGTCTGTTATCTTTGGCACTCATTTACACATGTGGATTCACTGTAGTTGGAATTTCTGGGTCATGATGTGACCTTTTGCCAGGTACATTTGCTGCCTCTTTCTTTTCTAGATTTCTGTATTTTTTCTTTGGTGATAAGTTTTCTATCATGTATCTAAGACTTTGGAATCTCGTGTAATCTGTGCATCAACACTCGACCCTTTCCCCTTTAATTACATGTTTGTCGCAGCTGGAGCCATGGCACGCCTCTATTCCTTCCTGTCCTGGTCCTTATCTATCCATTCCTGTCCCCTTCCAGGGGTTTCTCATCATGTTGTTTTATTCAACATTGATGGACATGTTGCCAACAGTACCTGACTCTAACCATATGGTTCCTGTCCAGTGAGAGCTTGACTATATTATATTGTTACCCTTTGGTGATCTTTCACTATAGTTCCATGGGTTCTTCAGGTTTTATCATAGGGACTTGTCCTACTATTTCTTTCCCCACCTCCTTTGTACCCTTATCCTTTCCCATGACTTGGGATCCTACCACCAGCCTGCATCTGTCCCGAGGAGGTGCAAGATTTTCTGTCTCTTCAGGCCATTGCACCTGTTCATCATCTTTCTCCAGGCTGTTTGTTGTCCTCATGCTAAACCAGAGACTGGCGGCCTGTACTAGGTTTGTCCCACCTTATTCTCATTTTCAATCTGCCTTGTTTTACCTTGGAGTCTTTCTCTCTCTCTTAGGTGGGCTTTTTCTCCAGGTTTGTTGATGACAAAGAGAAATGTCACGAATGATTATTTGCATATCCCAATATTTCGTCACTTGGGACCCTCTCTTTGGTTTATTCTCCATGGGGTGGTTTTTCTGTTTCTCGCAATGCCCCTCGGACTTGCTTCGGCCCTGTATGTTTTGTCAGCAATCCGAGTGATTGTCGTAACTTATATTATCTTGGGTTGCACTTTCCTCTTTCTTCCGTCAAGTGACTACTGTTCACTCGTTCCGAACAGTAGTCCACCTGTTACCCTTATCAGCTGCTCCTGGAGGTGGCTATAATGGGCTGTTAATCAAGTTTGAGAAGTCCTTACTGCGACCTGTCTAATATCTTGTCCATTTGGGTGTTTTTCTTTTTATACACACATCCCAGTCTGGCCACACTTCTTCTCTTCATCTTTGTTCAATGGGTTTTCAGTTAAATTACAGCTTGTGAAGTTCTATTGCTTTTGGGGATGTGATCTTCTATGGTAGCCCTTATCCCCTTAGGTTAGGCTCTTTCTTAAGCTTTTTGCGACTATTGGAATTTTGCAGGGATCCTTTGTTGGCTCTTATTACCCTTGTTGCTGATTGGCATTGGTGGTTAGATATGACTCACATGTTGGCAGGTGTCCTGCTTCCTCTTCCTCATCTGGTTTTCCACATTTCATGGATGCATCTCTTCAAGGATAGGGGCATGGGTTGATCAACTGGAAGATTCAGGGTTTTATTCTATCAACATCCTGAAATTTCTCTCTGTAGGTCGTGTTTTGATTTATTTTCTCCATCTGGCCAGAAATTGTTAGGTAATGATCCATTCCAACTTTTCTTCAGTGGTTGCTTATCTCCATCATCAGGGTTCTCTGATGAAACCTGTTCTCCATCTCTCTGTATTCATATGTTGGATCTCTTTTTGGGCCCACATGCTCGATATCATTGTGTGTCATGTTCTGGGTGCTTTCACTCTTGTCGTGGATTGGATTCCTATCCAGACAACATTTATTCAACAGAGTGGTCTGTCAACCCCTTTTGTTTTCCAGTGGCTTTTACTTTAGTGGGGTACTCCTCACATTGAGGCTTTTACTACGTCCCTTAACCACAAATTGCCTTGGTTTTGGTCTTCGGTTCCTCATCTTCTTGCTCTGGCTATCAATTAGACCTACACATTTGTATATCCTCCAGTCCGCCTCCTTCTCTGGGTTTTGTTCATCCTTGACACTCTGTGTTCAGTCCTTCTGATAGCTATTTCCTGGCCACCTGAGCTGTGGTTTCCACATCTTCTTCAGCTCCAACTTCCTCCTCTGTACCTTCTTTGCCACCCACAGTCACCAGTGTTTCATCCAGACCTTTCTATCCTCCATTTTCATGCTGGTTTCCCCTGGTCATTGGTGAGGTGATCTGGCTTTTCCTAATGGTTAGCCTCTTTTCTGGCTTGTTTCATTCACCCTTCCTAAATGGAAGTTTCTCAACACTAATGGAATTTTTCCATTGTTGGCTTCTGGGTTCAGGGTTTTCTCCCTGATCAACCCACTATATTTCTCATATGTATTCTTCTCTTGACTTTTGGATCTTCTGTCCCCTCGGTCTTGGATTTTTGGTTGGTTTTGTCCCACACCTTTCATTTTTTTCATACCACAGGTATTTACCTCTCCTACACTTTACCTGTGGAAGTGTTCCTTTCAGATTTGTTGTCCGTCATGGTGGGCTGCCTTTCCAGATGGGGATAGTAATGTGGTCCTGCACTGCCTCACTTTGCCTACATTTGAACCACTCTCCCAGTGCCCCTTGTTTCACTTTCCATTATGTTTTCCTTCCTTCTCCTATTCGCCTGTGGACTTCAGTGGTCTG